CCTTGCCCCACCGTTATAGTACTTCCACAGTGGTTGAAGTATTCATTTGAGATGTTGCAAAGTTGCATGGTAGTCCTTAGGGGATTGTGTCAAATAGAGATCCAGTCTTCCTCAATAGGCTCTGGAAGGCGTATTTTAAGTTACAACATACCCACCACCACCATTCTACGAGCTATCATCTTCAAACTGATGCCAGACAAAAATCACCAAGTGATGTTTGGAGACCTACTCGAGAAGTTTTACAAGAGAGCGCCCAAAATAGTAGCTTAAGTGGCTTCCATGCATAGTTGTCAAGGCAACGCCTAGGCGTGTAGGCGCTTTTTGGGTCTCGCCTCGCCCAAACGCCATATGATGTATCTATAAAATGTTGTAATTTTTTCATATTTAATATTTTTTATATTTTAAGTCTATAATATAAATATAGACATGATGCACCGAATCATTATTTTTATTTCTTTCACATTATAATAAATTTTTTATTAATTTCTTATCTTTTTAAGGTTTATGATAGATAAAATATACGAAGGTGAGTTCTGAGAGATATAGATATGATATTCGAATATGAGTTCAAGAGATATCCTCATCAAGTTCCAAGCTGTATGTCTTTGAAGAAGAAAGGCAAATCGATCACAGAAGGTATGCTTTTCGTTCTTCTTCTTCTTCTGGAACAAAAAACAGGGGCTCCGCCCCTTCTTATTTTCTTGTTCTAGAACAAAAAACAAAGGCTCTGCCCCTTCTTCTTTTTCTTGTTTTGGAACAAAAAACAAGGGCTCTACCCCTTCTTCTTTCCTCCTCCTCCTCCTCCACCCCTTCTTCTTCTTCTTCTTCTTCTTCTTCTTCTTCTGCTGCTGCTGGAACAAAAACCAGGGGTTCCGCCCCTTCTTTTTCTTTTTTTGGAACAAAAACAGGGGCTCCGCCCCTTCTTCTTTCCTCCTCCTCCTCCTCTCTTCTTCTTCTTCTGGAACAAAAAATAGGGGTCTATTTCTTTTTCTGGAAGAAAGATAGGGGCTCTACCCTTCTGTATTTCTATTTCAACGGCAAAAATTGGGGTTCATCCCATTTTTATTTTATTTTTCTTTTAGACATTAAGCGACGCCTAGGTGACCAGGCGACTAAGCGCTCCCTTGTCGCCTAGGTTCGCCTTGGTGCCTTGAAAACTATGCTTCTATGGGTGAAACTCTAGCATAATACAACTTACCACTTTCTACGGAAGAGATCCTCTATTTTCCCATATGAGAAGGGGCTTTCAGAAATGGCCACTGTTGGGTGATCGCGATAAACTATTGAAGTCCCTAAAGACCCATTTGTTATGGGCTCAACAGCTATCAAGAGGCAATATGACAAACACCACAAGGCAATTGAATATCATTATATCAAGTTAGAGAACAAGTGTATTTGAAATTACAGCCCTACTGTCAGTCCACCATTGCAAGGCGAATATAGCACAATTTGTCCCCCCACTTCTAATGAGCCTTTCCTCGTTATTGAAAAGATTAGAGTTGTTGCTTATCGTCTGCAATTGCCAGAGGGTTCAAAGTTACACCCGGTGTTTCACATTTCTCTAGTCAAGAAGAAACTGAGTCCTACACACTCAACAACCCCTGTTTTGCCACCTTTTACAAAAGAGGGAAAATTACAACTCACTCCACGGTAGATCCTGGACTACCACTGGATAAAGAATGACAAGAAGATCGTCAAAGTGGCCCTAGTGGCATGGGCAGGGTTGCCTCCTGAAGATGCTACTTGGGAGCCAAATTTTCCCTCAGGTTGAACTTGAGGACAATGATCAGCCTGAGGAGAGGGGGAACTGATAGGGCCCAGCCCAACTGCAGTAAGCTCTAATCCACACCAATGCCTTAGCTCCATGCCTTAGCTCCAGGAGTTCCTACTGTTGATAACATGGACTCTCGTTGGTGAATGGTCGAGTCTCCGAAGGTCTGGAGAAGGCGACAGGAAAGAGAGAGAACGTGAGGAAGAGAGGGGAAGAGAGAAGGGAGAGTCTGCTTCTAAAAAAAAGCCCTAGGTCAGCTATATATGGTCAGGAGGTTGTGCCTCCCTCGAAGGGGCACCTGCGATAGGCAATATCCTACCAGAATCCTGCATAACATTCCTGTATCATCTTCCCCCTTACTTGTAGGAGAAGATATTGTACTGAAATTGGAATTTCTGTACAAGAAACTTCTAGTAGAAATTTTCCAAAAGTATTCTGACATCACAGGAGCTGTCTGGAAACCTCTCATAGGCATTCCAATATTCATATCAATAAAACAAAAGATCTAGGATAAATTCCTGCATTATTTATCTTCCATTGTTGAAGAGATTTAGTATATATATTGACCAGCTTAGCCTCAGATCCACTGACAGCTCTATAGACCTTTACATTTAGCAAAAACTTAAAATGTAATCTCCAAGTTCAAGAGTGTCCAAATCACAACCTGAAAAATATTGTAGTGGAATAAAAGTAAGCTGATTGCTTAACAACAACCAAGGGACTTGGCAATGCAAATTAGAGTCTAGTGGTCTACCCTTCATTAGGTTAAGAGATCTGTAAATAGTTTAGCTGTTGCTTTTGCTAAACAGGGAGTAATAGTTCATTTTTTTGGGGGGTTCATTATTTGATAAAAGAATAACAGTTACCAAACAACAAAAAAAATAATTTCCAAGTTGTGTACTTTGTCCCATCAGATTTAATAAAGAGTATCTCAGTATTTTTCAAAGCCATTGAAAGACATACACAATCACAGAAAAAAAAATCAGAGTTGCTGTATTTTTCAAAGCCATTGAAAGACATATACAATCACAGAAAAAAAATCAGAGTTGCTGATTTTGAAAAAACAAAACAAACTAACAGAAAATACTCCTGAAGCATCGAAAACATGGGTCTTAGGTTTGAGTTTTTAACCTAACAAAACTAGTCCAATCCCAAATCAGGTCTTACTTGTCCATAAGCATCATATATGCAATCCAGAATTTACAGTCTCAACCAAAAAGGTTAAAGAACAATAAAAATCAATGGTTTGAGTTTTCTAGTTCCTTCTCAGTCTAATTTTGGGTTTGATTGGGATCTGGGGCTTAGAAGAGGCTTAAGGGATGTAGAGATTGAAAATGCCATGAGTCTGGTTCAGATCTTAGACCGGGTGGTGTTGGATCCCTTTGAGAGGGATAAGAGAGTGTGGACCCTAACTCCCTCTGGAACCTTCTCTTGTGCTTCTTTCTTCAAGTCCCTACTACCTTCATCCAGTCCATTTGCACAAAACTTTCCAGTTAAGGATGTTTGGGGTGAGCCGATTCCTCCAAGGATTGGAGCCCTTTGTTGGGAAGCCTTCCTCGGAAGATGTAATACATGTGACATACTCCAAAGAAAAAGGCCTTTTGGGTGCTTGTCTCCGAATTGGTGCATTCTTTGCAAGGCTAATGGTGAAAGCTCCTACCACTTATTAGTTTCTTTCCCCTTTGCTACTAATCTTTGGGAATGGTTTCTTTCCTCTTTTGGTTGCAGGTGGACCCCACCGCCAAACATTCAAAGTTTGTTTAGCCCCTCATTCTTTGGTTGGCCAAACAAAAGGGGAAGGATAATGTGGAGATGTGTGAGGGCTGTTGTTTGTTGGACTCTTTGGGAGGAAAGGAACACCAGAATTTTCTCTGAAATTGAAAGAAGTAAGGAACGCCTTATTGAAATAGTAACAGTGAGGGTGGTACATTGGTTGAAATCTTTGGACCTGTTTGTTGATATTTCTACGGCTATGTTGCTGAATATGGCTGGAGGTGGCAATTCTGCTCCTGCTCACTCTTTAGCTTGTCCCGTGTGGTCACCACCAGGAACTGGACTTATAAAGCTAAACTTCAATGGAAGTAGTGAAGGAAATCCAGGTCCATCAGGTGTAGGAGGGGTTTTCAGAGATGAGGATGGGAAGGTGCTTGCTTTGTATTCAGGTTTCATTGGGTTTGGAGACTCTCTCAAAGCTGAGGTCTATGTAGTACTGGAGGGTATAAGGAAGTCTAAGGAACTGAAAATACAAAAGTTAGTCGTTGAAGGGGACTCAAAGCTGGTCTTAAGTTGGTTACAAGAAGGTAGTGGACTTTGGAAATATGCTAATGAGAGGAGGGAGATTAAGTGGCTAACTAGAGGACTGGAAATCAAGTTTCAGTGGGTCAAGAGAACAGAAAATGCATTTGCTGATGCTTTGGCAAAGCAGGGGGTGGGAAGGGATCAAATGTTTTGGGCTATTCTGTAAATTTTTCCTTTTTGTTATCTTCCCGGAGAGAGTTAATCCTGTTTATCTCTCTTTGGAGCGCTGTAACTGAATTCTTTTAATCTAATGAATTCCAGTTATTGATCAAAAAAAAAATACCGAATGGATCCTAAGAGATTTACAAAAGGTCTCCAACTGTAGACCTTATTGAAATGTTCCTATAAGCAGTCTAGAAAACTGTAATAGAAATCATCTTAACCACAAGTTTGGTTTCCTATTAAGGGGTCATTGCTTGGTGTAATGGAAAAATCTCAGGCTGACGAGTGAGAATACAGGTCCGAATCTAAGACTTGTGAAGAGGGGAGAAAAAGGAAAAAGAAAAAAGCCAAAAGTTAGGTATGTATCCAATCTATCTCTCCCAAGATCCCAGATAGAAAAGACCACCATTTGGCCCCCTAATCATAAGTTTTCCTATCAAAGAGAAAAAGAAAACCTGAATCAGATCAGTTGATCAAGATGGTGTGTCAATTCCCACCCCAAAGGTCAGCTTATATCAAGGCACCATTTGTTCGCAGCACTGTTGGTAAGGCCACAGGCTAACAACCATAAGACACAGGTACAAGTCTGAGAGCAGCCACTTTGTGCAAAAAATAAAAAAGAAAAAAGAAAAAGAAATGCCCAACGTTAGGTCTGTATCCAGTCCACCCCTCCCAAGACTCAATATAGCTGGGACCAACAGAAAAAAGAATACTTCCTTTCCAGAACTTCATAAAATTCTTGTTTAGAAGTTCAAGTTTACAATTGTACCTGAAGAGTGAAGGCCTCCATGGGAATTGGAGATAGAGTTGTCACTAGATATACATCATTGAATTCATTGTTAACAAATTTCCCATCATTTATAACACTGCATTCAACATGTAAGACAAATATAAGACAAAGATAACTGATTAAGAAATCAGAAGAAAGTATAATAGAAATGTACAAATCAAGAGGGGGAGAAGATAAGGAAAATGAAAGATACAGGCTCCACCAAACCCAGGAGCACAATCAATAAAAAGATTATCAGAAAAAGCATGCTAACCAACCAATGTTTGATCAACTTCAGATAGAGTATAACCATATAATTGAGAACTATTACGTCAGAAAGAAGATCAAGTAGTTCTTAAGGTCTCTAAATTTTCAACTCAATTGAAGAATGGGGAATGTGGTTTCAACTTTCAATGTGAGTTATTCTCATTCAGAAAATCCAGCAAGCACATCAAACTTGCTGGATATATTCTGGATGTGTTTTTTTACCTTATGTGTCCCCTCAATGTTATATCTTCTTGTTCTAAATGCACCTTGGTTGTTCACCAAAACAAAAACAAGAAGCTGATCAAACTTTGGTCAAAAGTCAAATTTTGAAATTTGGACTTCAGGACCTGAAGAGCTTGTCACCCCTACTCTAGAAAGCCTGTTAAATCTCATAAATATGGAGAACTTTCAGGAGTTTCTGTCTAGGTCTGTTTTTGCTTTATACCAACTAGGAAGTAGTGTGCAGTGTGTGTCTGTGTATGTGCGTGCGTGTGTGTGTGTGTGTGTGAGAGAGAGAGAGAGAGAGAGACAGACAGAGAGAGAAAGGAGGAAGGAGAAAAGAGAAACGAGAATGTTTGAATGAATGAAAGCATAAATGAGTGCATGTCCCACTCTTTTTCTTCCTTGATTGTTTTGATCATGATTCATAAAAAAAAAAAAGAACTTGAGTAGAATTAGGGTTTCCCTATTTAGGGTGTATAAGTATGCACTATGTCTGCTAAAACCCCTTGATTATATTCCTTGAAGGAAATACCCTTTGATTTTGATTTTATGTGAAAGAGCTACTTTGTAAGGGTTAAACCCAATAACAGGTAATAAGCAGTCCCATCAGCTTGGACTCTTAGCGGGTTATACCTATGAGTGGACCCCACAATTGGTAGACAAGTCATAGGACCCATACACCATTGGGTCATGCACACCATCAAATCTAGTGGGTCCTACTTCTTACCGATTAACGGGATTCACTGTTAAGATGTATAAGTTTAAATAAGATCCACCGACAGTGGGACCCAGAGGCTTGCCATTTACAAGTGGCAATATTGGCTGCAACAAATAGCAAACCAGTACATCTGTCCCCCCCATTTCAGGTCTGCAACAGTGTTGCAACAGGTGGCAAAGTGCTGTTACAGGTGGTAAACCAGCACACTTGTCCCTTTTTTTTATGTGTTTTGACAGCACTGGGTTAGCCTACTGAAATTCTTTGGGGTGGATAGAATCCACCGACATATCAAAGGCTCCCCAGTATTATTTTTGTTATCTTTGTGGTGGATGAGATCCGCCAGATATATAAATTGAAATAGGATTTTGAGTTCTAACAGAACTCTAGAGAGAGAGAGAGAGAGAGAAGATAAGATAAGGATTAATAATAGATAAAATTTGAAGGGAAAAAAAAATAAGATCTATATCTGTATCACTTCAATCAGTAGAACTGTAAGTTCTCTCCCCTATTTCCTCTCTTCCTCTCTCTTCTCTCCTTTTTCTTCTCTTTCTCTCCTTTTTTTTCTATCTGCCGACTCAATTTTCTTCTCCTCTCCCCCTTATATAGAGGGAGACAGTTATGGGGTAGGGAGGTTAAAGCAACCTCCCCACTCTTCATACGTGGGGTGGTTGCTTAACTCCCCCCCATAACCAGAATTTAAAATTTGAATTTATGTGGAGTGGGCCAGCTGTCAAATCTGCCCCCCCCCCCTCAAGCTTTATTTATTTATATTATTTTATTTTTTTACATCATATATTTTTAGTCCTCAACATTGACAGTAAAAAGTAATTTCATTAAAAAAGAATACGGATACAAACAGGTGAAGAGATTTCACCACAAAGCAGTACATTAAAAGATCCCAAACACCAGAAAACAAGAACAAAGAGCTACCCACTATAAAGTCTCCCACAACTTCTCCCCAAAATCACATCTGTTCATATTGTTAAAATCAGAACAAGAAAGGGCCCATTCAACAATTGAAGACCCAATATCAGCAACTAACTTGACTTCAACCCTTGCCTTGTCTTCAACCCAGCATAGCACAAAAGGAATGGTTCTCCAAAATATTTTAGCCTTCATGTTTCGTGCCAATTTTGGCCATTTAGTAAAGATCTCCTTAGGTTGAAATGGACACACCAACAACACCTTAAATAATAAAGAAAAGAATCACCAAACAAACTCCACAACCTGAAATTAAATAAATAAATGGCATGAACCTCCTCCTCATACATGACCAGTGTTTTAAAAGTGAAAGGCACCAAAAAAGAGCAATGGGCAAAAACGCAAAAAAAAATCTAAAAAATGAAAATTAAAAAAAAATCTAAAAAAATCAAAAACAAATGCCAAAAAATTCAAAAAAAAACAAAATAAAAAATTCAACTTATTAAAATATTAAACAAATTATTAATTAAAAATGTAAACTTAAATTTTAAAATAAATGCTTTAAAAAACCTATTATCTCAAATTAAAATACATAAACATAACATGTAAAACATATTTAAAATGAAAATTTAAAAATAAAATCAAGTGTAACATATAAAACATATTCAAGCATGTAAACTCTTAATCTCTTTATTCTTTCCCAATTGCATTACTTCAAATAGCTAATATGATATTAAACATTATGCATTGTTGATTCTACAAACTGCCTTTGTACCAAGCCCCCCGAGGCAAGCCCAAACAAGTCCCTATTAGGGTCTTAAATTCTTAATCCCTATAAAAAAAGAAAGGTTTTATAGGGAGTGCCTTTTGAAAATACTCCACCAGGTGCACCAGATGAACGCCTTTTGAAAATACTCCACCTGGGACCTAGGCAAGGTGCATACCCTAAAATGTGCCTCGCCTGTGTGCCTAAGTGCGCCTTTTAAATGACTGCACATGACATGTCTTTGGAATTTGAAATCCCCTTCACTTCAAGTAATCAAATGTGAAAACATTATCCAAATAAAGAAGCTATGCAAAAGCCTCAATTCAAGGAGGAATTTGGTTTCCTAAAACTCTGGAAAATCTGTTATTCTCCATTTAATCTCTCATCAAATCATTGTAAATACATTTAACAGAAAGCTTTCCAGCTTTACATTCATTCCACCACCTGGCATCAGGTTTACCAAAAACCACCCTCACTTCTTCCAGCTGGATAACTCTGCACAGTCATCCAATTCTCTATCCAATAATGGATGTCCAAAAACTGGACACCATACAACTTGATCTCCTCTTACATCAAAACGCTGGCTTACAGCAATGTTCTTCGAACTTAATTTGTAAAGCCTGGGATAAACCTCACACAACCTTCCATTTCCACGTCATTCATCCTCCAAAAATCTTACTCTGCTACCATCCCCCACAACATCCTTAGAACAGCTAGCAAATTCCGACTGAAACTTTGTGAATCGCAATCTAATTCCAAACACTTACTCCATAAGAAGAAGAAACCTGTCTTATATCCCAGTCAAAATTCAGCACCCCATAATTACAAAGAACAACCCCACTTTGTCTCTTATTTATATGAGAGTTACAACTTAAGTATAATGATAAGATTGCTCACTTTACACAAGTCACTTTTTTTGGATTTGAAATGGTAACTCCATTCATTAATTTACAAGTATAAACAGTAATAAGCACCCCAACAAGGAAGTGCTAGACTCCATAATTACAGTGCTGCTCAAAACAACTCAGCCCTGGTTGACCCCTGTTTAGCTAAGCCATCAACCAGGCCATTAGCTGAATCCCTTGTAGTGCAGCTAGCAGTTCAGCCCTATTGGAATCTCCTATTCCCACTGGGCCCAAAAATAAGGCCAAAAGGTTGCTGTCCTTATCCCCCAAAACCCCTCCTATAGCAAACAGGCCCAGGTTCCCCTGACTACAATTAAAATTCAGCGTCACAATACCTTCCAGAGGAGTCCAAGAAACAAAGGCCCTCTCCTTAGTAGAGTAACTAGATTGGTAAAACAAGAGGCGGGAAGAAATCAGTTATTTTCGGCTCAATTGTAACTTCACCATTAAATATGGGGAGAGTTAAGAGATTTTATCTCTCCCTATTTGTATTCTATTCTCTGGTTTGATGTAGTATGAAGTTATTGATCAAAAAATGATGCCACAGCCGACCAACTTCTCCAAAAAACATCAAAGGAGAAAGAGTAAAAGGAGTCAACCATTTTCCACCAATGCATTACCCTTGTCATAAATTGCTAATGCATCATATATTGTATTTTACTTGAGTCTAATAATATGGCAATACCAATATTGCATGAAAAGGAATATGGAAAGTTGGAAATGTGACTGCAGATGAGGGCATCTACCAACCATTCTTGAAGAAAGACGAAAATAAATTCAAATGCATCCATTGGCAAAGCTAAACCTAGCTCCTCATGAAGCTCCCTCCTGGAATCAAGTAAAAATAGTTAAATGTATCATATGATATACAGGTAATTTAGATACTGTTTCTGTTACAAGGATATCAAATTTCATTAGGATTAAAACAAAACATCATTCAATCGAAACAACTTAGTAGAAACTAGAAGAAACTCACTAGTTATGATTAGTATTTATAATTATTAAATCCTACAAGAAGGCAAGTCCCAAGTGCCATTTAAATAGAGGGCATACCCAATCAAGGCACAATATTTGAAAGCCTATCTAGCTATATTGATATACAAAATTTAGAATAAGCAAAAAAAAAAACACTAGCATGTTAGAAGTGACCAATAAATAAAAAGGTGAACAAAACAATAAATTTTTAGGCAATTAGTCGGTGAATATTTTGGGATAGAAAGGCGCAAAAGATAGAAACCATTTTGTTTCTTATCAGCAGGTCTACATCATCAACAAAAAGAAGTGAGTGAAAACTTCCTAAAATTCAGTGCCTCATTAAGCAAATATTACACCTGTCACATCTTGTTGATAAAATTAGCTACCTGGCTGTTATAAGGGATGAATCACCAGCAGATATATGACCAGCACTGGAGATATCCCACAATCCAGGCCAAGAATCCTTGCAGTCAGCACGGCACTGCAGAAGCAGCTCTTGAGTACTCTCAGAAAAAATCCACACATGAACCGCTCGATGATAATCCCCATCTCTATGAACATCTCCCCTGCACAAGTAGTAATTGATAATTTACAAAAACTAAATATCATAATATACCAGTCACAAGGATGCTATAGCCAGGATTGCTTCTCAAAAAAAAAAAAAAAAAACATATATTCAAATTGAAATAATTATCTAAGCAACAAATGTGCATTTACACAGCCTGCAACAAGATATCCTTGACCAGAACATAAATAGATTTTTTGTTTGTCTTCAAACTTTTTGAAGAAAAGGCCTGATGAGATATATTTAATTATATGTATTTTATATTTAATTTATATATATATGCACATATATTATTTTATCTTATATTGTATATTTTATATAAAAATATTATAATCTGACACTTACAATATATTTTTTGGTAGTAAATAAAAAAGAAAATTTATTAATAGAAAAAAAAAAGTACATTTGACAGTGATGAGATATCACTAGAGAGCAAAGCTACAAAGGGAACAAAACAAGGGAAAGATACACTGAGAAGAAAAAGGAGGAAAAAACATAGTCCATACAAAAAAAAAGAAAAAAAACGATTAGGCCAGCTGCACAGTGTTCCAAAATTCAGAACCAAGATCTTCCTTTGTGATTCCTTAAAAACTTTGGGAGAATGAGGATCCAGTCCATAATTCATTTGCCACATAAAAGTGTTATATGTTCCTTTAAGTGAGACTTCTCAACAACTATTCTTCTATTTCTTTCTTTCCAAAGTTTCTAGCAAACTACGAAAGGAATGCAGCTCCAAGAGATCTTTGCCTTGACATTTCCAGATATCTTAGGCCATTTGGAGAAGATTTCCTCCACAGAATTGGGAGACCACCCACCAACCTTGAAGATCTGAAGAAAAAGCCCCAAATGAACTTGGAGAATGGAGAAGAGGCACTCAACAAGCAAATGAAAAACATTCTCCTCAGCATTATCATAAAGATAGCATCTGCTAGCTAAGTGAAAGCCACCATCTTGAAGATGATTTGATGTCAATATGCTATCCTATGCTACTATCCAAGCAAAAGCTTCCACCCTTGGGGGAACAGGGTTTCTCCAGATGCCTTTCCAACCTGAATTTTCTCCACTTGACCTTGACAAGGACTTATAGAAGGATTTGACTGAGAATAGAGCATTTCTAGATTCTTTCCACCATCTTTTATCTTTCCTTTCCACCTAAGGTTCAGCTGACACTTACAGTATATTTTATACAATATTATATTATATAATATACAAAACAAATTTTGTGTGCATATTATACACCATAAATATAAAATATTATGCAAATGCCAGCATTTTATACATAAAAGACATGGGCCCAGAATCAGGCCAAGGCCACCCTGCCCATGATCAACCCTAATCAAATCCCAGCCATCTAAAAGGAACACTTCCATCCACAACAATTCCTAAATCATACCATTCTCCCCACAAACCAACTTTGCTAATAAATTATTATCAAATTTATATAGATATATGCATATACATCGTAATAATGGTGGATTTGAATAGGATCTGTTTGGATCAAGGATCAAAATTTCGGCCTGTATCATCCGATATATATCGTACCAGTGGATCACCAATGCGCAAAATATTAGGTGTTTCAGGGTTTGACCTCTTTCAGGGAGTAGACAGGCCTTATACCAATCCCCCTGAACAGGTTTGAAAAAAATAATAATAATAAAAATGTAAAGAACCTCAGGGTAAAGTCCAATATGCCCCATCCAGCATATTGGACTGTATCGATTTAGAACCATGGTTTGAATTGGGGCAGACCCATATTTGATCCAATTATAAATAGATCAAATTCAGATTGGCTTAACAGATCTGGTTGAAGATTCAAACTCAAACAAATGGATACTGTTTATAGCCCTAAATATTTACATCTGCTATTATCCTATAACAAAACCAATAAGAAGCCTAGATAATTCATTAAAAAATAAAACTCTCTTTTCCTTTTTTTTTTCCCTTCTTGATTGATTAAATATCTCTATTGGATCAACAAAAAGAGGCATAAAATCAGTAGTTCTATTCACCTACCACAAAATTGTGATATTTCCTACTGATAAACTTTTGAAGCTTATTTTGATCTCTATTTGATTTTTCTATGAAATATAGAAAAAAAATTAGTAGTTGCTTGACTATTTGAGATGATAAGTAGCCTCCTGATGCCTTTAGGTGGGCCAACTGCACTCCATACTTCACTGTGCTTAACTCCTATACCAAAATAAAGATTTTCTTCCATTTTGCACCAAAAGCAAAGCAGCAATAACTTTCCCTTCATGATCTAAGATAAGCCTCCATTCCAGAACAATTACCTCTAATTGAGACATCAGAGGTCAAAACCCTCCAAACAAATATTAAGCTTGATCCAAACTTAGTTAGAAAAAGAAAAGGGAAGGATCCTCTGTTCAGATTGTTGTCCTTAGATGTTAAATGAAGAAACCCAAAAATGATATTCCATGTAGACTTCCCTGATTGAGGTAATCAGTCAGGATGAGCTTCAAAATCTCTTCTCTTGATTTTCACCTCTATCTAGATATGCACGCCACAAAGAGAAAAAAAAAAAAAAAAAAAACACTTGTGGCCTAAATCTAGAATCTCATTATGTTAACTGGAATCCTTTTCATCCTTGACTTGACACTACAGTAAGACCTCACTAATCTTAATGATGCTTTATTTGAATTTAGGATCATCCTCTGTTTAAGAGATAAAGAATTGCCATTTTTTTTTCAAATTCAGTGGCGAGGGGACCAACAGTTTAGTCTTCTTTGCTGTACTTTCCAACTGTTCATCTTATTCAGTACTCATTAACAGCTGCTTAGAGATTGACATGTTGGATACCTCTGCACACCAAAACAGTGTTACATATTTCTCCGCTGGCGCTATAGCTCTGAAGAACCTCGTAATAATGTCCCTCACATTATTAAGAAAAACAAAGTTTGCTGGCCATATTGATGGACTTGAGAACTCGCCTTTTGTCGACATTAAGAGTGCATTGCAACAAAACCAAATTCTTTACAATTCTACAAACTGATTACAACAGTTCTAATATTAACTTATGCCAATCAACTCATAGATTTTCATCTCTCAAGATTTTCGTCGTACATGTCTATCCAAATGATGTTTTGCAATAACTAGAAAAAGAAAAAAAAAAAAAAAAARAGAGAGAGAGAGAGAGAGAGAGAAATGGAAATTCTAACTAGATGAATAGAGAATGATAAGACAAACTCGCCTGGGTTTCCGAATGCCCGTCTTTTCACCCGTTTTGGTAAGAACATCAAAAAGCTCCTCTTCGTGGGCTTCAGCCATGACTACTGCTTCCGTGTATAACCGATTGCCTTAGATAACAGAAGGAAACGAGCGCTACGCCACTGCTAGTACTTGTATTCCACCATTGAACTTGAACCTGCTTTGCGCTGACGCTGCGGTCACAGATGACGTAAGTCGATCAGTTTCCACATTTACCCTCGGATTCCCAAGTTTACCCTGGCTTTATTTATTCCTTGCGTACTAACGAGGTGCCATGAAGATGGCCCAAACTTGAATCCGATTAACAGTTATACGATGAACCCATTTGGATTACAGCTTACAGGAAGAATAGAGGGTTAACGAGTTGCCATTGATTGCATACTCGAACGACCACAACTTACCATCACGTTTTTTTTTTCTTTTTTGAACTTACCATCACGTTGAAAAACTTGAAAGTATTAACTCTGTCAAAAATCATCGAATGCTTTGAAATCTAGGTAGGTCACGTAGGTGTCTGGCGTTGCAGAGTCCGAAAATGACTTAAAAAGGAGCATACCTTAAAAAAAGAAAAAAAAAAAAACTGATGAGAATCGAGTCAACCGGGTCCAGCCGTCCAGGGATTTCTGATTGGTTTAAGTGTTTCAGTTTGTTTATGCAGAAAAAACATTAGAAATGGGCCCATTTCTGATTCAATGCCCAATAATTGGAATCAGTTTCAATTGATTACTGCTCAACCAGTTTTTTTATTTATTTCACCAGAGAAAGAGCATGTATTTAGTACGGGGTAACTAAAATTAAATAAAAAAATTAATATTGGTCTTGAATTTTTGTAATTGACAATATTAATTTATATTTTTTTATTTGATTTAAGATATTAAATGAGATCTTATTGGTAAACAGTAACCCACTTTATTTGGTATTTACTATTTATCTAATAAACCTATTTTGAGTTATTTAATTTTAAAAGTTAAATTAGGTTGATTCCTAAAAATTAAATCAAGTTTGTAATTAATAAAGTATTTTCTTTTAAAAAATCATTTAAAAATAAATGTGGGTTTATAGTAATCTTTTAATGGATTCTACTTTTGAATCCTGTTTCTTGAATTAATAGGATGCCACATATTTGAATGGTAGTAGTGGATTGTTGAGAGAGTTTCTGGATTGGTCACGGCACCATGAGAGTGGGCAAATTAGTAATTGCCCATTGATTTATTTTGAGTAAAAACAAAAGCATTCCCGTGAATTAGTGAATTGTCATGAACGTGCCCAACCCATAAACTCTCTCAACAGGCCCAGTAGTGGGTTGTGGGCTTTAGTAGGAATTTCTCAAAATATATTACATGTCTAACTTTCCAAAAAATGAAATTGCCACTTGCCTGAATGGTAGTAGTGGATTGTGGGTTTTAACAGCAACTTCTCGAAAAATGTCACATGTCTAAATTTTCAAAAAATGAAAATGCCACGTATCTAAATGATGGGGGATTGTAGCCTGAAAACATATATATATATATATATGTGTGTGTGTGTGTGCCAGAGAGAGAGAGTGAGGGCGAGAATCTCATCTCTCTATTTTATATTTGGGAGAAATAAAATTGGAAGTAAAATGATGTTTTTTCTAGTGAAATAAAATGATGTCGAGAGTTGCAATCTCATCTCTTGTAGGTTTTATTTTATGTTTGGAAAGGGTGGAATGTGAAGTAATTAATCACGTGCAAGGTAGAATGAAGGTGATTCAAATTGTATTGTTTTTTTTTATTTGCAAAAGCTGTCCAAATTTCACATAGCCGTCCAAATCATACTACTTACAAAATACAAACAAAACGTTCAAATGCGATGCAAGAAAAACCTAAGAAATCAAAGACTATAAAGCACTAATAGCCCTGTGCTATGCACCAGAAAAAAAGATGTTATGACTTATAGGGCTTAAAACTTATTGTTCTACTGGGCCACACAACCTAGGAGTAGGAATAGCTAGAGGTGTAAAATGGGTTGTGCCGGGCTGGCATAGCTCACGGGCCATGCTGCCCTCTCCTAGGATAATTTGGGGGCTTAGCCATGGCTCAAGCCCATGCGGGCTTGTGCTGGGCCGTGCCATGGGCCTAGGCTGTGCTGGGCTAGGCCATAGGTCGGGCCTTGGGCGTGAGCTGAACCAAGCCAAACTGGTTTTTTACTTTTTTTTTGTTTTTTGTTTTCTGACATTTTTTATTTCTTTGCTAAGTAAAACTAAAATATTTAACTTTCCTTTGGGAACTATTTGAAAAAATAAGAAATGAGAAATCTAACAAATAAATGAAAAAAATACTTAACCAAATAATAATGGAATAACAAATTGGAAGAAAAATAGAAATTTTATTTCATTTAAATTTGAATGATAATAACTACAAAGCATAAAATGGTTGGATACTTGGATAAATAAAAAATGAAAATTGGAAAATAGAATAAATTAATAAAATATAAAAAATATAATATAGTTACAAATTGAAAATAGAAAATTACATTGTTAAAAAAATAGAAAATAAATTAAATAAAAGTAAAACAAATTTTACAATAATTTGAAAAAATACTATACAATTATTGAGTATACAAAAAATATTGACTTCATCATTTTCTGATTTTCTCCTATTGTTCATGACTTTCAGGTGAAATATTGGGTGTAGTGTCATGCCCTCCTTTTTCTTGCAATGTGTCTTCAGCATCCAACCAATCTTTAAAACATATGCACAACTCTAGACTTTCTTCATTCATTCAACTTTTCTTGTCGTCCAACACCCTAGTACCTGCATTAAAACAAGACTCCGGTGGAACTGTAGACACCAAAGGGGTAAGTAGATCACGTGCAATGGTGTCAAGAACTGGATAATTTTTTGAATGTTCACTCCACCAGGTTAAAATATCAAAACTATTTGTTCCCTCAACTAAAGTACAAAAAATTGCTTGTAAATAAAAATTAAGTTCAATAAATGAAATTGTTGTTGAGGTAGTGGATTTCTACCTTATACTTGTTAAATAAAAAAGTTTTTCTCTTCTACTACTAGGCTCAAGTTCAGAAGTGGAAAGGTGCACTTGTACAACTTGTAGAATTATTCCTATTACTCCAGATTTATATAAACTATACATTTCAAATAATAAACTATCAATTTCTTCTTTTTAATTTCTAATTTCAATATTTATATTTTCACAATATGTTTCAAGTAAAATATTTAAACCATCTTTCCTAATCCTAGGATCTAATATTGTAGTTAAGCAATAAATAGGAGAAATGTTCTCCCAATATTTTTTAAATTTATTTTCTATTATTTCAATATTTTTAAATTGTGGATTATTTCTATATTTTAAAAAACAATTACTAATCACTATTAATTGATAAGGTAAATTAAAACTAGTTGGACAATAAATACCTGACAATTCATTAGTTGCATCATAAAAATGTTTTAAAAAATCTCTTATACAAATTGTCATTTCCCAATCTTCCTTAAATTTAATATCAATAGGCATTTTTCTTTATAAAAATCACTAAGAATTTGTCTGTGAGAAATACAACTTTCTAACATAGCACAGGTAGAAATCCATCTATGTTTACATTTTAAACCATAATTTTGACATAAATATTTAAATTCTTGTTTTCTTGCTCTAGAACTTTCAATATATATAATACAATTTCTAATTTTAGAAATATGAGTAGAAATAATATTTAAAGCATCTTGAATACATAAATCTAAGATGTGACATGCACATCTAGTATGAAATAATTTACCATTTAAATATGGTTTTAATTGAGATTTTAAAATATTTATTACTAAATCATTATACTAGCATTATTAAAACTAATAAAAAATAATTTATTATCAATTTCATAAGCATGTATAGTATTTAAAATACTTGCAGCAATAGCTGGGCTAGTATGTCGCCAATCAAGCCTAGTAAAACTTAAAATTCTTTTATTTAAAAGCCAATTTGCATCAATAAAATGACCGGTAACACAAATATAACTTATGTTAAATTTAGAAGTCGAAAGCTCTTTTTCCCTTTCCCTCAATCTCCTCTACTTTAAATATTTTCCAAGCCGGGGTAATCAACTTAGAGGCCCTCTTTTTCTTTCCCCTAGTACTAGTACTAGAGGTGGAAGTTCCATCATCAATAGCATCCATATCGATGCTAACACTATCATGCTATGACTGAATATCGTCGCATTGAACATGTTGGGGAATTGGTTTCAGGAGGAGCCAACCATTTTTTTAAATTCTAAAAAAAAATAAAAATTAATTTAATTGGACTTACCCGGATTGCCGGTTCGAAATCCCAACTTGATTTCAACAGTTGAAGCCTTTCAAATCCAAGAGTCCAAGCCTCCCAAATTAGCTAACTTGAGATACTTGAGCTAATTGAGCAAGTCTTCTTCTTGCTGAAACTTCAATAATGTTGAGAATTGGAGAATCAGTCAAGCAGAGTTCAGAGAGTGTATGAGAGATTGGGAGATTGTAACTTGAGAGAGTATGAGAACTAGAGAAAAGAATAAGATGATTGTTGAATTGGTGTGATGAGAATGGTGGAGGATATGGCTATTTATAGGAATTGAAAATAAATCAATTACCCAAAATACCCTAAAAACTAGTCATTTTTTAGTTGTTGAGAGGGGTATTTTGGTCATTATAAAGTTATTTATCAATTTACACAAAATGCCCCCTAAAATAATTGTTATATAGTTGTTGGGGGCATTTGTGTCATTTTTTCTCCCCCCATAACCAAAATACATAAATACCCCATATATAATTGTTTATAGTTGTTAGGGGTGTTTCTGTAAAAAAAAAACCCAAAAAGCTAAAACTAGCCATGGGGGGTCCCTAATGGCTAGTTCTCAGGCGGCACAACATGCACAGTCGTGTCATGTCATGTCGTGCTGGCCGGTGGGCTTCAAACCACAGGCCCAACATGGCCTAGTCCAAAGTCGAGTCAAGTCATGGGTGGCACGACCCAATTTACACCTCTAGGGATTATTATTAAAAATTGGAGGAGATGGGGAGCCCATCTTCGTCGGGGACGGGGGATGCATGTTAAATTTCTTCCCAACAGGGAAAAGGGTCAAAGACTTGGATCGATTTAAATTTAGGGTTAGGGACTAGGAGTATGATCCCAGCCCCAAACTGCGCATTGCCATTCCTACATGGGGGTCATCCCCCAAACTCATAAATATAATTCTAAAAATTATGGAAATTATAGATGTAATATCCAATAATTATAGAAATTACTAAAAATTTTCAATTATTTATTTGGATAATTGGAAGTTTTATAATTTAACTTTCACTAAATTAAATTACTAAAATCACTAATTATTGCTCAAAAAATATAGTAAATATAAAAATTACTAACAATTAAAAAAATATTTATTGAAATTAAATTTCCACTTAAAAATTACTAATTTTTTTAATTATTAGCTGATAATATCATTTAATTATTATGGAAAATATCAGTCAATAACTAATTATTGTTACAAATTACTAATAATATCAAAATTACTGAA